CAGATCTCTCTCTCTCTTTCTTTCCATCCTTCCTCTCTTTCTTTCCTCTCTTTCCCTCTCTTCCTCCCTCCTCCCTCGTTTCCAGATCTCTCTCTCTCTTTCTCTCTCTCTTTCCATCCTTCCTCTCTTTCTTTCCTCTCTTTCCCTCTCTTCCTCCCTCCTCCCTCGTTTCCAGATCTCTCTCTCTCTTTCTCTCTCTCTCTCTCCAAACTAGCTAGGATGACCTGCCCGCCCCTGGAGTACCACCACCACCCCCACGCCCTTGCAAGGAAGCGCCCCCCACCCGAGAAACGTCTGAATCCTCCTGACGGGGGGAGGGGAGGGGTGGGAGCGCGCAACAGGCTTCCGCCTCTCGCGAGTCAGGGCGGCTTAGAGTTGCGGGGAAACCGAAAGTTGGGTTTCGCAGATCGCGGGGAACGAAGGCTTCCTCCTCCCCACGAGACGGAGTTGGGGCGGCTGCCCGCGTTGCTAACGAGCTGCGATGGCCGAAGAAGCCGCCTCGGCGCCGGAGCCGTCCGCCTCCCATTTGACGGTAAGCTTCGGGGAAGGTTTCCGCGGTTTGTTCCGAAGTAACGCGGAGGGCGGGCAACTCCGGAGCAGAGAGAGAGAGAGCAGAGACTTACTTGGGCCAGAATGCAGAACACTGCCCTCCGGTTTGGGGAGGGGGGGGAGAGGAAGAAGCCCCCCCCCCAAAAAAAAATACTTGGTCCCACCTAAGAGTCTTAAAAGTGGGACCTGCGGAGCGAGAGGCAAGGCGCTGGCTTTGGGAGGCAGGGGGCTGCCCCGTGGAGAAGGGCTTGTAAAGATCCGTAACCCCCCCCCCATATTCAGCCTCTCCCCACCCAGTTTCCCTCCTTCCTTCTTTTCCACCACACCTTTATTTTCTTCCTTCACGGTTCTGCGCTTTTCCGGGTATGCCTCACCCGGAGCGTTTCAGGAGGAATCCGTGTCTTCCAGATCCGGCAGGACTACATGTCCCATGAAGCCCAGCCAGCATGGCCGGGGCCCGGAGGAGTGAGGGTCAGCCACAGTTGGAAAGCCAGACTTCACTTCGCTTCTTTAATGAAGGGGTGGCAGCCAAACCAGACAGGAAATACAGGGGGTCCTCGGCTTACGACCACAACAGAGCCCAAAATTGTATGTTGCTAAGGGAAACGCTTGCTAAGTGGATTTTGCCCCGTTCTACGACCTTTTCTTGCCCCAGTTCTTAAGTGGATCGCCCCAGTTCTTGTTAAATTAGTAACACGGCCGTTAAGGGGAATCACATGATCCCGGGACACTGCAAACGTCATAAGTACAACTCAGTTGCCGAGCATCTGAATTTTGATCAAGTGATCCTAGGGATGCTGCAACGGTCGTTAGTGTGAAAAAACGGTCATAAGTCACTTTTTTTCTGTGCTGTGGTAACTTTGAAACGGTCACTAAATGAAGTATTGTAAGTCAAGGACTACCTGTAGGAAGACATGAACTAATTGTCATGGTTCCGATAGACGAAACCAGTAAAAACAGAACTCCAAGGCAGGAGATTTCCTTAAAGAACACATTTATTGGCTACAAAGTACCGGCACTTTCAAAAGTGAAACCAAGACTGAAGTTGCCCCCCAAAGGTTAATACAATGTTACAAAGTTAATTTCCCACCCCACTAATATGTCATAAATCACATTCCCCAATTAATTACTTTGGCGGGCTTCCTAGCAAAAGCGTCAGCAATGACCTTGGTTCCCACAGAACACTTTATTGTGTTCTAAAAAACTAAAAAAATACTCATTTCCCCTCTGAACTCTGGCACCCGAAAACGAGGTGGAAATGGCTTCAGCCAAATTCGTTTGCAGGGTTGACACTAATTCTACTTTATTTTAAGGCTACATGAACAGAATCTTGCAGGTCTGAAGGTACAGGCTTCCTGCTTTAAGCAGGTTGATTTATTCAAGAGGTTCCTTCCTAATTTTATTCCTCTGACCAAAGAGCCACGGAGGGTTCCTGCCTCTCTTCTTTGATTGTAGCTTCCCTTCCCTTCGTCCCCCAAGGTCGCCCACGGGTTCCTTTACAATTATTGAGAGCTAGAGAAAGCAGTTGATACTGGACCATTGAGCTCAACCTCAGGCTTCTGAAGAGGAGTGGACTTCAACTCCCAGGAACCCCTTAGCGGCCTAGCCAGTCATCTGGGGGAATTCTGGGAGTTGAAGTCCACCCGGCTGAGGTTAAGAAACACTGGACAGATGGGTTGAAGATTTACTCTCCAGGACTTCTGGCTATCCTCCAGATTTCAACTCCCAGAATTCTCAGCTGGAGCCATGCTTGCTGGGGAATTCTGGGATTTGAAATCAACCAATCTGGAAGCTGCTGAGATTGGCCAAGATTGGGCATAGAATTTCTACCGAAAGGTGAAGCCAAATCCACAGCGTTGGAAGGAAACCAAACAAGGAAGCTAATTCCAGTTGTGTTGTTAGGTCCCTTGTGTGCTTTTTGGTTTACAGTTGACTTTCTCCTCCTCGGAAAGAATGGAGGAAAAAAATTGTCTGATGGGAGGGGGCTGAAAAATGGACAAGTACTCCACCACGCCCAACTTCCTACACGTTCCAGCTAGCAGCGTTTCATTTCCTGCTTGTATATTATTCCATTTCAGTTGCATTCATTAAACTGAGTTGGGTTAATCTAGACATTCCTTTCACATCTTTTCCTTCCACAGGAGATGAATAAGGAGTTACAGTTCCTCCTATGTGACAAATGCCACTCAGAGGTCCCACACCCCAAACTCCTGCTCTGCTTTCACAATCTCTGCTCCCCGTGCCTTGAAAAAAAGCCGCCCGATCTCTGTGTCATCTGTGGAACTCCGTACGTCCACCTTGCAGAGACCCCTGAAAAGCAGGATAACGTGTTCTTTGCCAACCTCCAAGTCAATTTTGATCTCTACCAGAAGGTCACTGGGAGCAAAGAGTCGGTTTGTAACAAATGTAGGAAAGAGGCAAAGTTTTGGTGTTTCAGATGCAAAGAGTTCCTTTGCCTCTCGTGCTTTCAATTCCACCAGAGATATACGAAGAAAGACAATCACAAAGCCAGGCCGCTGAAGGACTTCCAGGCAGAATCTTGCAAGGACTTCCTTTCAACCATCAGAATGCCCAACAACATGTTTTGTTCCAAGGAGGGACATAGCAGCCAAATATTAAGGTAGGTTGTCCATCTATGCTTCATTCTCAAAGTGGAGAACCTCTTTTAAGCCACCACCCTGTTGCCCACTGGCTGGCCTTCCTGTCTGCCCAAAAGCTGATGGTTTTAGAATCTGGAGCAAGAAGCAGTGAGCTTTGTGGCTCCAACAGAAATCTGGAGCGAGGCGTAGAGAAGCTTTGAGCTAACTAGCTAAGATAGAACAAAACGATGGGAAGAAGAGAAGTGGCCCCAGCTCTAATGAAATAAGTCCCAGTTGGGTTTCCAGGACACTCCGCACGATTTGGAGAAGAAGTCCCAGTTCATACAACATTCTGTGGCGTAAGGCAATGAGTGAATAGCCTCCAAAGTAAACTTTCAGGAAATAGATAGACAGCCTTTATTGTCTTTTTTTTTACTGTGGGCACAATGGCACACATTAAAAATGAAATTTAGTTGCCTGCTCTCAAATTGTACACATACATAACCCAATGAGTTCTCATTCTTGCAGAGGAGTCTCCAATTTCTCATGAGGGAAGCAGCTTAGCTTGGACAATCATGAATCTGGATATTTCTTTAGGGACAATTGTTCAAGCCTTGTTGGATTGAACTAGGCCAGGGGTAGGCAACCTTGGCTCTTTTATGACTTGTGGACTTCAACTCCCAGAATTCCTGAGCCAGCCAAAGTTGCCTACCCCTGAACTAGGCCAATCTCTGCTTAGATAGAGCCGTGAATCCCACTTCTATTCTCCATCTGCTCCTCCTAGGACAGGGGTAGGCAATCTTGGCTCTTTTATGACTCATGGACTTCAACTCCCAGAATTCCTGAGCCAGCATGGCTCAGCATGGAAACCTCTCCATTTCTCCTCAGCATGGCTGGCTCAGGAATTCTGGGAGTTGAAGTCCACGAGTCATAAAAGAGCCAAGGTTGCCTATCTCTGTCTTAGGAAGACATTTCTCCCAATCTTCCATGGTGTAAATAGTGTATTTCCTCCATAGTTTTAATCTAGTAGTTTCAAATATTACTCAACAGGTAAATGGTTTTGTCCTCTTTAATGGGATTGTGACATTGCTTGAAGGTGCTCAGGTTTCTAACGTGACTTGACTGGGTGCTAAAGACCCAGTTTTGAGATCCCCGTGCAAATGAAGTGACCGGGGATGGACAGCAGCTCCAGTCAAAAATCATACGCTTTGCCTTTCTTGATCCCCAGTCTCTACTGCAAGCAATGTTCTCAACCTATGTGTGCCATTTCCACCCTACCGGACAGCAAGCAACATTGTGACATCAGCCAGGAAATACAATGCAAGCAAGAATTGCAAAACATGAACACGGAGCTGAAGGAGAAGAAGAACACTTACGACGAGACCAACAGCAGCCTTAAGAAACTGTTGATGGACATGGAACAGTTGAGGAACGAGATGACGGAGCTGATCCAGCAGAAGATAGAGCAGATGATCCAGTGGCTGGGAGAAAAGGGCAAAGGGTTCTTAGCCAAAGTAGAAGCCCATCATAGCCACCAAGTGCAAGAGGTGAATAAGAAGCTGCAGGAGACGGAGGGAGTGGTCGAGAGAATTAAATCCAGCCAGAGGTTGGTGGAGAAGTTGCAACTCTACGCTTCCCCCCAGGAAGTGTTGGAGATGCATCCTTTCCTCAATATGTCCATGGTGGACCTCAAGAAGAAGCAGCCATCTTCGGTAAGGGGAATCGAAATGAGGACTTTCCTGGAAATCAAGGCCCAACTTCAAACTTTGCTCGACAGAGTGACAAAAAACGAAGGTAAGGTTTCGCAAAGATACGCAGGCAGTCCTCGGTTTACAACCGCCATGGGGATTTCTGTTGCTAAGCAATGCATTTATGAAGCGAGTCATCAGGGAACTGGGTCCAATTTTAGGATTCTTTCTACCGCAGTCATTAAAGGGACCCCTGTGGTCTTTAAGTGAATCCGGCTTGCCCCACTGACTTTGCTTGTCGGAAGCCACCCAGAGGCGTCGGAGACGAGATGGGGGGCTAATAAATTTCACAATCAATAAATAAAACTAGGAAAGACGCAAATGGAATTTATGGCACTTGACCGCAGGATGCTGCCGACTGCCAAAAATGTGAGCTGGTTGCCAAGCACCCAAAGTACGACCACATGATCGTGGGAATGGTTGTAACTTTGAGGACGGGTAATAATAATAATAATAATAGTAATAGTAATAGTAATAGTAATAATAATAATAATAATAATAATAATAATAATAATAATAATAATAATAATAATAATAATAAAGTTGGAAGGGACCTTGGAGGTCATCTAGTCCAACCCCCTGCTCAGGCAGAAAAACCTGTACTATTTCAGATAAATGGTTGTCCCGTCTCTTCTTAAAAATGTCCAGTGCTGGAGCATTCAGAGCTTCTGGAGGCAGGTTGTTCCACTGGTTAATTGTTCTAACTGTTAATTGTTCTAACTAAGTTTCTCCTTAGTTCTAGGTTGCTTCTCTCCTTGATTAGTTTCCATCCGTTGCTTCTTCAGGCGCTTTGGGGAATAGCTTGACTCCCTCTTCTTTGGGGCAGCCCCTGAGATAGTGG